CGAATTCAGAGTTGTGAACGAAATGGGAACCTTCATGTTCGCCGTTAGAACCATTCTGATCGAATTCAGAGTTGTGAACGAAATGGGAACCTTCATGTTCGCCGTTAGAACCATTCTGATCGAATTCAGAGTTGTGAGCGAAATGGGAACCTTCATGTTCGCCATTAGAACCATTCTGATCAGAGTCGAGATCCATTTGATTAATGTTAGAGCTTTCTTGTGAGTTGAGTATTTGACTTAAATAGTCTAACATTGATGGTGATAAAAATAATGAATATAATTTTTGAATTATCGATTTGTTTGATTCGATTAATCTATTAGAAAAAACTTTTTTTTTTTGAGTTACATGAACACAGTGCTGCTCATTTCACCGACAATCATTTCATAGAAAGTTCACTTAACCGTCATCACATAGGTTAACATTTTATTAGTGACGTACTTACATACGCACATACGTACGTATATATTTTTAGTAAACTGCATTTGGCGTGATGCCGGTTAAGTAGAGCGGATCCATGATCACATATAGTGAAATAGTGATGGCGCGGTCCTCAAATCCGATTGATTGCAAGATCAGAGTGTAACATACAAATGCAAAGTAAAAAAATTAAAGGCGAAAAAAAAAAATCACAAACAACACATAAATTCGCAAGGGAAATTTTCTTTCCACTTCATATTATGCAAACATTAATTTTTAGACAAAAATTAAGATATCATTATTGTTTATTACTGTTTCGAAATGGTTGAAAATAGCACTATTTCCAAAAAAAAACTTTTTTTGCGAATACCTGAATATTGTACCCGATTAACTTAAAACTTGATCGAAGATCGATTTCTAGCTATTTTTATTTTAATTAGGCGAGTAATTGTTTATTGCGCTTTGTAAAAAGGTGTGACCCTATGATTTTGTGATGATGATCGATGGAAATTTCAGAGATTCTAGATTGTCTTTCATAGTTGGAAATCAATCTTCGATCAATGTTCTAAATTAATTGGGTATTCGGACATTCAGGTATTCGTAAAAAAAAAAAAATGGGTCTGAGAATATTGCTATTTTCAACCATTTCGAAAACAGTCACGGAACCGCGCCATCACGATTTCACTCATGGTGAATACCTATTGTAATCATGAATCGTAGGACTCACAAAAAAATCATATACGTATCAACCTCAATTAAATCAAAACAACAATAACATTTTTCTTTTTTTAAAAGAAAAGAAAAAACTCACTCTCAAGAAGAAGGTAAAGGAAGAGAAGTGTGACATGGATAAGGAGAGGCATAGGTAAAGATAGACCATGACCAATGTTGGTGATGAGAGAAACAACTGAACGAATATCGGGTTGATGTTGAAAATTATTCATTATTTATTTTATGAAATGCGTTTTTTTTTTAAAAAAAAAACTAGGTATAAACTTTATCGTTTTGCAATAATATATATATTTTTTTAAATAATAAATACCTATATTTTAAATAATATATGTATATTTAAGAATATATATATATATAATATATATTTAAGAATATATGTATATTTAAGAATTTATATATATGTTAAATAATACAGTATATATATTGTGTTATTTAATTCTTTTATTTTTTTATTTAATTTTTTCTAATGTTATTATAAAAAGAATATCTCAACAAATTAAGTAAATGTATCAATGTTCCCATATTCATACTTTATCTCTGCTTTTGATTTTATAAAAAGAATTTGCAATATCGATATATTGAAAAGTTATCTCAAACAGATTAAATATACTATATACAGTAACTGCGATTATCTAATGTATATGTTTCAAATGTGCCATATTATGCATAACTGACCAAAAGTCAGAATTCGCGTTTTATAAATGTCATCTGACATTCAACTATCAATAAAATATTATATTTTATTTTAAATTCGTGAATTTCTTTTTATTTACTGCTTTATTGAATTTCCAAAAACTAAAAAAAAAATTATAATTTGATATAATGATTACTTCGTTTTTTTATTACCATCAAATTACAAAATTTGGTCTTCTGTGCGCGAACCTTCAACTTACAAAATTAGTAAAATTTTTTATTTCAAAGCTTAAAAATTCTTTGATTACTGGAATCAAAAAATACGTACAAAAAGAGCAAAATTTTTTCGGTCTAAGTTATATTCCATATAATCAATTCTATAACATTAAATTTATTGCTAAAGGAGGGTCTAGCATAATATACAAAGCTACATGGAAAAGAGATGAAATTCAAGTAGTTCTTAAAGATATTGAAGGTCCTAGAAATAGTAATCGTTTTTTTTTAAATGAGGTTGGTAACATATATGCTTATTTGTCTCCCTTCGACATGTATATATTAAATATACAAACGCAGAAAAAAAATATATATATTTTTTTATTTAGTTAATGGTCTACGAACATTGTGGGGAAAGATCACATTTCCAGAAGATTTATGGCATAACACAACATTCAGAAACCAAGAAAAAAATGATTGTCATGAAGTTCGCAGTACATGGAGATTTACACAGCTATCTTTTAAAAAATAATAAGACTTTATCCTGGAAAAAAAAGTTGAGAATATTACGTTGTATAGCACGGAATCTTAGAAAACTTCATGAGAAAGATATTATCCATTGCGATCTTCATAGTGGAAACATACTCATTAATAGTGATAATCTTGGTATTAATGTTAAAATCAGTGATTTTGGAGTAAGCAAGCGAGCAAATGCATCATCCGATCATAACGAAGTTTACGGTATCATTTCATACATTGCACCCGAGGTATTAAAATACGGACGTTACACTAAAAAATCTGATATATACAGCTTAGGTATCATAATATGGGAAGTTATGAGTGGTTATAAACCTTTTTATGATAGAGAACATGATGTAATCCTTATTTTAGATATTATGGATGGTCTTCGTCCTAATTTCATCGAAGGTATCCCAAAAGAAATTTTTGAACTAATGAAAAAGTGCTGGGATGATAATCCTCAAAAACGTCCATCAATATTTGAAATTATGGATAAACTGAACTCTATTATCAAAATGCTAGATGAAGAAAAAATATCATTTCCTAAAAATTTTTCATATATAAAAATGAATAATCCACAAGATACAAATACAAGTTATCTATTGAGCTCTTTTATTAGCAGGTTTTTAAAAGATACGTGTTTGCTACAAAAAAACGCATTAAATCAATAAACAATAGTCATAATCGCTGTTATTTTCTATTTTTTTTTAATTTTTTTAATTGCAAAATACTGATAATTTCAAATTTTCGGGTTTATCATATGATCGATTATGCGCGATCACAAAAAAAATCAATAAAACAAATTCTTAATTAATTTGTACAATACAGTAAATTTAAGTTCATTGGCGTATCCCCTACATGAATATACAGTATATAATGTGTACAGTACGTACAGTACATCGGATCTACCTTAGCGTCAGCACGAAACTCAATGATTACTGCATGTCATACGTAGGAAAATCTCTACTTACAATGTTAACAATATCATTAAACATTTATTTATTAAGATTTTTATAATATCCAATATTTATCAGCTTTATCAATTATGCATAGCTACCGATATTTTTTTTTTTTTGATTCGCAGTTTCAAATACACGTACAGTACGTACGTACATATACTGTACGTAGCAGTATTAGAATTAATGTTAGTTTGGGTATACTGAAAACTTAATTTATATTTATAATCATGCTGTATTTTATCATTTTGGCGTTTCGCTTAATAACTAATTTCATACTCGCGTGACGACTAAAAAGTTCATTTGTTAAGGTCTGCTATGTAAGAAAAACCAAAATTAAGTATGCAGTTATAACAGCGTACAATCAATATTTGCATATATTATAAATTCAAATTATTGTCTTCATTTGAAACTTTCGTGGAAAGTTATCTTCGTTTGAAACTTTTGTGGAAAGTTATCTTCGTTTGAAACTTTTGTGGAAAGTTTCAAACTAATCGATTATCTTAAGAATTTGTAATATTTTGATCCTACAATAAGACATCCGCATAAAAAAAGATATAGGATAAGGAAAGTGCTCCCCCCTGAATATATAAATTTTACTAGTGTTAGCATTACACGACTTAATATTTTATTATCATAGGAAAATATGGTAGCCTGAATTAAATCTGCGCAACTTACACAACCAAAAACGTTCTGCAAAATACAATACTTATGTTGTTTGATAATTTTTTTTTTTCTTTTTTTTGGTTTATCTCTAGAAAAAATGAAACTGTACCATATAATAAAAAACTTAATAAATTTGATAAAATAAGAATGCGTGTTTTTTTTTTAGTCTTGTAGTTATCGCCAGAACATATCGTGTTCACCGACAATCATTTTATTTAGTCAACATCGCATGGGGTTAGGGTTAACTTTTGATTAGTTGCAGGTATATATTTTTAACAATTGTCACCTGGAGTGATGTCGATGTCGATATCGGCGAAACCCTGATTCCTTTTAAATCAGTAGAAAAGGGGGTTTATTGTTACATTTGATTTGGGCAGTTTTGCAGCTGCAGGGTTTATACTGTATTTAATAAATTATTCTTTGTATAAATTTTTCATTTTGCTTCAAGATATGCACGAAAGTGGTTAGATTATAAAGTTTAGGTGATGCCAAAATTCTGGGACCAAAGCCAACTATTTCATAAATTTGAAGCGATTAATTACTCGCGGCTGAACGGCTCCGTCTAGTGGACAATTTGTGTAATTATGCACATACATTAATACAGTAATATGTTATCAGTTATTTAAATTTGGGTACGTACGTACGTACATATGTACGTATGTACATACATGCATGAAATTTGGGGACGTACGTACATACATACATATATGAATGAAATAAACATAGCATACATGATACAGTATACTTCGTGGAATCATACCGCGCAATTTCACGATATATGATAAAGATTTATTTTCGATTTATTATATCTATCCTTTAATTATTCAAATTCAAGGAAAATTTGTATTGAATTTATTTTTAAAAAGTTTAACTAGTAAGATCATGATTATTGCTATATGTAAGGATAGTGCTGATGAATTAATGATTTTCACACTTCTAAATTGATACGATTGAAATAAAATAAGTATTAATCAATAATAATAATATTTAATGACCTATTTCAAATCCTCAGTTTATAATTACAATTTATTGCTTATACTTTAAATTAACATGAAATCAATGATAAATTGATCTTTATACTGCGCATGCGATTTTTAAATAGCAATTCTTGAAGGTTTGAATGTGCCAGGCTTGTGGCGCGGATTTCCTGAACTAAGAATCAAATTTCAAAATCTGTGTAACGTAACACGATCAAGAAAATAATCGATTGTCTAAAGCGGAGGCAAATCATGTGATAAACAGCCAATCAAATTATAGAATTTCGATGATCTCCGGCGAAGCAAGAAATAAAAACAAAAAAAAACCTGAAAAATACAAAACCTACCCCGGGTAGGTTAATCAAAAATGTCGGGAAGGCAATTTTGCTTATATATAATTACCAAATACCTAACTTACTCTAATATAGGATGCCCCTAACCCTAAAGTTAATCGAAAAAATTATAAAACATGAGTTGCCTCCGTTTTAGACGTCCCCGAAGAAAAACAGGTGAGACCGTTGATGTTACACGACTGAACTTTCACCCGGTGTGCAACATATAAAAAAATTATTTTACAATACCAGATCATTCCGCTAGTACATGTTATGATTATAATCTAATATCATTATAATAAAAATGGTTATAATAACATGTACTAGCGGAATGATCTGGTATTGTAAAATAATTTTTTTATATGTTGGTCTCTCCTATTCATAAGAAACCATCTTTTAGTGCCCTAACAAAAATTTTCGTTCGGCAATTTTACTACATATATAAACCACTAACCTCTAACCATAGTACTGTCTAAACCCAGATCCTAACCCTAGCATAAACGAACTTTGGAAATTTGCCGCTGCTCCACAAACCTTGCACACATTTAATATTTTTGATAGACGTTTTAATTTTTTCACAACCTTTGAACGAAGATACCTTGACAACCACCTAACATATCTTGTAGAACTATCATCGAATTTGGTTAGGCGGTCGTTATGATATTTTTGTTTAAACTTGTACGAAGGTATTTTATTAGTCTGCTGATTATCACGTGAAATATGGCTGGATTTGATGCGAACAAATGTGAATTTAGCCAATAAAATTCAAAAATGTACAATAAGTCAGGTGATAGCAGTCACATGTACAACCCGGTTTATTTATTTAACCAATCAATTTTTGTTCACATGTCATGAAAGTGAGCAGATTATCTTATATCTAGTGATGCGGTTATACAGGTATATATAATAGAATGGT